GGCTATTGTTGGCGCATTGCTTGAAACAGACCATTCAAATGAAGCAACAGGAAAATAAATAGTAGAGACAATAAACACTTAGTACAAAAATAAACCTCTGGCAAATCCAGGATAAGAATTTGTCGCGGCCGTCATGGATAAAGTCATCCGTGAGGACACATCCATGCGGTTCTACTTCATTCCTTGCTCTCTCGGATCCTGCTGCCCAGGGATCCTGCTCCCTGCAGGGCCTGGGCCAGATCAGGGGATGAACTTTCTGAGCAGCTTCTGCCCTCGGCAAGAAGATCTGCGTGGGGAGCGTGACAGCTGTGGCTTCACCTAGAAGGCGCTGGAAACTGTCAGGCAACGAGAGGAAGACGGGGCGCCATGGAACGAGGGGCCTGCACACCAGGACCCACGTGAACACTCCAGTGCGTGGCAAGATAGCTGGGTGAAGGCCGTGGTCCGGAGGACGGTGACTGCTGGGTGACGCTTGGGGAGACAGGCAAAGGGACAGGTGGTCAAAGGCGTGTGCCCTGGAGGTCGGGGTGACAGGCGGGGCTCAGACTGCAGGGCCCTGTTGGGAAGCTCTGGCCTCTGGGACGTAGAGGTTACCCAGGGATAATGACAGAGTGACCTGACGCTCCTGCGTTTGTCCTTTGATTGGATGTGTCCTATGGTTGGATGCATTTTTACCAGATCTACCGGCTCTGAGTTTCCTGCTGGATTTTAGCAGCTCAGAGGTCACGACTGAGTTAACCCACATTACCTAGTGCGTTTCAAATGAAAGGTAAATGTGCAAAAGTTAAGCAAAGCTACCATTTAAGAGAAATCTTAGTCTATTGTCTTTCTATAATGTCTTAAATACATATGGATGGCTTAAAAATGGATTAATTCCGCAGCACTCAAAGTGGGCAAATATTTGAAATACAGATCACAGACACATATGAACCAGCTGTGACTCCAGCTCGTTCCCATTTTTCTCCCTGTGGGCTTCCCTGATTACACCACAGCTGACCTTTCATCTCCACGGCGTGGTGACTGCAGGCCAGAAAGATGTGAGTATAAACATGGATGTCGATAGATTATCTGCCTATCTACAACCTTAGATAATCTCATTTTCTGAGATTCAGAATCACGGTCATATGAACTAAAATGTAAGATCCCAAACACCTGGGTGAACACCAAAAACATCTAGAAGTTTCTGTAGGGGTAGCGGGTGCCTGTGCTTCTAAGCACAGACACCATGGATGTTTTCCACCCTCTTCCAGCGCAAGGTCTGGCCTTGTGTGATCTCCCGCTAAAATCGTTTCGGGTAGAACTCTGCGTCGTTGTGAACCTTGCATAACTACTCTGAGTATGATGGCGGTAATGATGATGGTGGTGATTAAGGCGCGCTGACAGCAAGCAGATGGCCCCGCAGCAGGAAGACTGAGCAGGACTCACAGAGGGGCCGTTAGGGTGCCGGAGCAGTTACAGGTAGCATGCCCGGCTGGGTGCCCAGGACTGGCCTTCGCGGGGGCCTGGGGGAGCAGGATGGGGTCCTCACCGGAGCGGGGGCCACAGGGGAGGCCGCCCGGCTGGAGCTGTGCCTGCTCCCAACTGGGCCGAGCAAATCCCAAGTCTGCTGCCCACACAGAATGTCCGAAGGCCAGAGGAAGGTAGCCCGATGGCTGGGGTGCGGGGGCTCCGGGGCCACCGGACAGGGGAGAGCATCTCAGTCAGTGACCGTAGGACCCTGCAAAGCGCTCACTGTCATGGGTGTGGACAGCACTGTGGCCCCAACATGAGAGAGGATAAAACCAGTTCCCCTGTCTTTGTGAGGTGAGGTGAATTAAATCAGTCACGTGTCTAAATCCATAGTAGTCACTGACCGTGAAATATTAGGGGCAAAGAAAGGAGAGGAAAATTAACGGGAGAGCACGGCCCTTTAGCCTCTGCTTCTGGAGACGATCATGGCACCCAGAGGGCGGTCGTACCTTCAGCCGACGCTGCTGTGCCCTTCACCGCTCCCAGCATTGCGGACCCCAGGCGGCCCCCTCAGTCTCTGGTAGCCCCATCTGTATGCTGAGTGGTACCCGGGCCCCGGACGCCGCCTCCCCTCTCCCATGGGCTCCAGAGACATAACTCCCCTTCAGCAGCCGGGTCACTGCGCAGCAGGCACAGCCACAGCCTTCTCTGCCTGACGTTTCCGAGCCACTAGGAGTCGAAAGGGCCAGGACCCCAGCCTCAGCAGATTGTGCACTTGGGCAACAAGCTCTCCCGACTCACCAAGCCTGGGCTGCAGGGACGAGGGTTACTGGGTAGAACAGAAAGAGGGGCCACCCCCATCTCCTCTTCTTGGGGACCAGGGTCATGCACCGTCATTCCAGGGAGATAGCAACATAGGCCAGCTGCTGGTTTAAGGCCACCAGGTGACCCTCCACAGGACCCCACCCGACCTCACCAGGCCTTGTCCCATAGATGGTGCTGTGCCCTCCGCAGGCCGCTCCGGATCAGCCAGATGCTTCTTGGCATGAGGGTTCAGGGGAAGTAGCAGAGGGTTCCGGGCGTGAGGGTGCAGCGGATTTTGTGGGCGTGAGCCTAGTGCTGCAGTGACTGTCCCTTAAAGTACATTTCTCGGTCAAGAAGACTCTACGTGAGAAGCCGTGTGCCCATCAGCCATTCTCAAGAGCGTGGGTTTTAACGATGGGAAGGGAAGGAGCGTCTGACCGGACTCACTTTTGTGAGGGGGCACTGCTCCCCTTAACAATGGGGGGATTTCAGGGGGTCCACCCGGAACAGAGGCCTGTGTCGGCGAACCCTGACCAGGAACCGGTGGCCTGTGGGACCCTGGCTGACACGCCCACACACCCGGGACCGCCCACCTCGTGACCGGGTCTCAGAGCTTCCTGCAAAGTGCGTGGTGCGTGCAGACTCCCAGCTCTGTGCCCACCCGCCCCCTCCCCTCGTCATCACCCTCATCACCCACATCCCAGTCTTGTGCCTTGGGACCCCCAACCAGTGGACAGCCCAGCCAGCCCACGAGTCGGTGTGGATGCGGGCCCTGGGCCCTCTCGTCTCCCAGGAAGCTTCGCAGAGCTGTCGTTCAGGGTGGCGTTATGCCCCCCATGGAGGCTCCCCCACCTGCTCTCAGGGCCACTCGTGACCCAGGCAGGGTAGCGGGGCCGTCGCTCCAGGCCTGCCCCTTTCCTCCTCGGCTGACGGACGGCGAGGAGCCGAGCAGGGAGAGGCAGCAGCCAGGGAGCAGGTGCCCAGCGGGCCTGGGTCCACTCGGGTCTTCCAGAGCCGCTCAGGCTCAGCCTTGTCTCGGGTGTTCCCATCTGAGGTGAAATGCCGGCCCGCGTGTCTGGCTGCACGCCCAGCGGGTCAGGTAACGCTTCACGGGTGACACTGCAGGCGCAGGCACGTGGCACGTGATGGCCAGGCAGCCGGCTGGCTTTCCAGGGCTCGGGACAGATGGACAGGTGGCTGGAAGGCCACTGGCTCTTGCCAACCCCAGGGGTTGCCAGGAGCCCCTGCCCCGCCTCTCCCCTGGCACCCCATCCCGAGGCCTGGCAGCCGGCCACCTCCCCCGGCCCGATGTGTCTCCGGGTGCCGTGGGCCGAGGGCACCAGCCCCGCCGCTTTCCCCAGCACCCTAGAGAGAGTGCTCCCAGCATCCCCGAGCCACGGCCGCGCCTTCTCCAGGGAGGTCCCCATCTCTGCACGGGTCGGGGGGCTCCTTCCACAGGAGGTAACCTCTGCTCCTACGGCTGTTATTTGTACATCCTCCAACGGTGTCTTTACTCACTGGCCTCATTACCCGAACGCCCTTATATGTAATAATTCTTTCCTTTCGATTTCTCTGTTCCATTTACAAGGTGGTTCCTACTTCCAGATTGAACCCTTGCCGGAGGGTCTGGCTCCTGCCCCGGATGCCCAACCCCACCGGGTCCTCCCTGAGGCCGAGTGACTCCCCAGAACCCCGCTGTAACTCGGAAGCGAGGCCAACGACACTGGTGCCGAGGCCAGGGCTTCCCCCAAAGAAGAGAGAATCCCCAATTACGTCCTAATACGCACGGCAGAGAGCGTGTCCACGGCACTGAAGGGGGACGGGGCAGGTGAGGAGGCGTCCCTGTGCCCTGGGGCGGCGGCAGCGAGTCTGGAGAGAGGCCCCAGGAGCCGCGAAAGAAACACGCAACCGTTTAGAGAACACAGTTAACTAGCTGGGGGTGTAGCCAACGGCCCTCCCCCCAGAGCTGGCACGTTGGAGGGTAAGATTTTTGTTTACACTTACTCAGCCTTTCTGTGCATTCACAAGCATTCTTATGAATCTTTCAAAACAGAGTATCTTCAGTTAAAACACCATCCGTTTTGCCGCTGGAGATCACAGTGGAAATCTCACCACAAAAACACACTGGTTTAAAATATTTATTAATTAAAAAAAATTTTAAATTCTTTTTATCCAAAGATGATGAGAAAAATCTCATGCAAACTGGGCATACAATAAAAATAACTCAACTATTCATATGATGAATTTTGTACAAAATAATTCCATTTTAAGTAGGACCTCCGACAGACGGTGCAGCCGCCCTGTCCGGGGGCGGCTTCCCCTCAGGCTCCGGCGGGGGCCCGGGGGGCGTCGCTGTGACCTGATGATGATGATGCTATTGCTACTACTCGGGACATCGGACGGACACCCAGCACACTCAGAAGGAGCCCCCTCGCCATGGGGCTCAGAACCCAGGGAACACACAAAGGTTTGGAGAAAAGTTTCAGGTAATTAGCTCAACTCATGAATACATCTTGGGAGAGTTATAGGTATTTCTGCTTAGTTACAAACCTGCAGTGGATTTATCATTTGTATATATTACAAGTACTTTGCATAATTAAACAGTGAAGGGAACGACCTACCATGGCAATTAGAAATGCATCAGACTCGGAACGTCGTACAAAAGACAGCTTCAATATGAAACAGTAATCCTTCGAGAAGTGCGCGCAGCCCCGCGGTCGCCCGCCCCCCTCGCCGCGCCCCCCGCCCCGCACCTGTCTTTCTGTGCCTCTCACGCACTCATCTCATTTTCCGCAGCCGGAGTCTGTTTTCCTTGTCCCGTTTCTTAAGAATAAGTATGAATTGGTTGAAAAAATGCTCCTGGTCCTTCTTTTTTTGAACGAGCCGAAACCTCTGATCCCGGCCGTACTTCTCTGCGAACTCCTTAAATGTGGTTCTGGAAAACAAGAACTTTCCTGATTCAGGGCTGGGGGTGGGGGGGGTCAGGGTGGTCTGTGCCCTGAGCCAGGGGCTCCGCACCAACTCCTCTCTCCTAGGGTCACCATGTGGGGACCCAGAGATGCCAGTGTTCTCAGCTCCAACCATAGAAAATCACAATTTATAAATGTTTAGATGCACTTTTGCTTTTCTAGGTTAGCATTTTGTGAAGGGGGTAATTTATGCTACATTTTTTCCCATTCAGAAAATATCTGCCCTTTAAATACTTGGAGAGGTTTTATAAGGACCATGTAACCAACATCCAATTATAGACCAGGTGAACTAAATAATTATCATTCAAAACATGGGAGCCTATGTCTTCACGGAAAGCAAACATCAATTCTTTTTTATTTAAAAAATAATGTTGTATTTATGCATTATTACTAAAATGTCTAAATGCCTACATTATTATTAAAAATAATAATGCATAAATGTCTAGACGTAATATCTAACCCCCAAATAAAAATAAACCAAAAATCAAATTTTTTGCTTATACAAGTTATAGTTCTATAATTCTTTGGTTTTTGTTTTTACAGTTTACTTATTTTTGAAACAGAGTGAGACAGAGCACGAGTGGGGGATGGGCAGAGGGAGAGGGAGACACAAAATCTGAAGCAGGCTCCAGATTTGTGCTGACAGCTCAGAGCCTGACGTGGGGCTTGAACCCACAAACTGTGAGATCATGACCTGAGCCGAAGTCGGCGCTTAACTGACTGAGCCCCGCAGACGCCCCATATAGTTCTATAATTCTAAGAGTAGTACATGTTCATTACTTTTTAAATATCAGCCAGTTAAAGCCAATTTTTGGGACACCTGGGTGGCTCAGTCAGTTAAAGCATCTGACTCTTGATTTCAGCTCAGGTCATGATCTCACAGTATGTGAGTTTACACAAATAGCCTGGAGCCTGCTTGGGATTCTCTGTCTTCCTCTCTCTGCCCTCCCTTCCTGGAGCTCGCTCTCTCTCACTCTCTCTCTCTCTATCCCTCCCACCCAAAAATAAATAAATAAACATTTTTACACAACAGCCAATTTTAAAGAAGACTTAAGTTCATGCATTTTTCTAATTTCTAACAGTTTCCTGTTGGCCTGTTTTATTTCGCGGGAGCAGTGCTGGGTTATTTTAGGTGACTTGGCAGCGAGATTGCATGGCCCGTTTGTCTCGGTGTGTGTACCTTCTCTTTACACCCCCGCCGACTGCGAAGGCGTCTGGAGCCAACGGCGAGGTTTGTTTTACCGCTGCCGTTTGCGTCCTGTAGACTCACTCTCCCATCCCTGGATCCGAAGTCAGCCCTCATCTCGAGTGCTGACCTACTGATTAGGTCTTTAAGTCACGGAGTCAGGGCGGCCGCGCTGGAAAACCAGGCGGGGCAGCGAATGGGAAGGACACGGGACATGGGGATCCAGCACAGAGGACCTGAGCTGTGCGGCCGGGCAGGGGCTGTGGCCTAGTCACCGACAGCGCGAGGGAGGACGCGGGCTTCCCTCTCCAGCGGGTCTTCACAATTACACCCGTGAGGTCTCCGCGATGTTACGATTTAACCAGAACAGACTTTAAAAGTCCTTCCGGTCATTGGTAAATTTCCCGCCCCCGAAATTGCCCAGCATGTCTGTCTCCATACCTGGGTGACACTTTAGATTCTTCCAGAAGTTTTTTGAATTCCTCTTTGGCTAGCAGCAATTTGCTTTTCTTCTCCTTATATTCTTCTTTTATCCTGGTCTTGACAAACTGTTCAAATATCTTAACACACACATACACATACACACACACACACGAAAAGTATTACCAGGTTGCATATCAGGAATGAAATCGTGTGTTTCAAACACAACACGAAAGGACAGAGATCCACTGTGGTTAAGCTTTTCTTTTCCATAGTTGCTGGGGCGGCAGGCACAGCCCCTCAGCAGAGGTGCTCTCTTGAGCCAAGCGTCTACATAATTAAGCCTGGGTCCCCAAGAGAATCTCGGGGCTAAACACTGAATCAGCCCCGCGTGGGGTTCCCTTTTCCTGTTCTGGAATTCTGTGAGCAGCTTCTAGGATCATGTGCTGTCTGGCCCATCCCCTGGCTGGAAGGGCATGAATATTGTCTGGTAGGCAGGTGCATTCATGACCCCGGGAGCCCTCTCCCTTTGAGCTGATAGCCAACTCAGGAACATGAACCACAAAACCTCTCTGCAGCGGTCCATCAAATGTTCCTCCCTTGATAGGATGGAGGCCGCTCATTCTTCTAATATGAGATGGTCATCATTTATAAATGGAGCCTGAAGGAGGTGGGGACCGCTGTTTCATTCCTAATGCTATCGGAGCCTCAAGAGCATTAAAAAGAAAATACTGGAGATAATTTAAATGTGAGTGCAAACATAAATAAAAAAATCAATAAAAATTTCACATGTGATCCTGGAAGGCCTGTAAACAGCAATTCTGTACCAACCGGATCGAAGGCCATTGCTGACATGAGATTTGACCCCGGGCGCATCTCCCGCACTCCTGCCCCGGAGGGGGAGTCAGGGAAGACAGGCCAAAGCAAGAGGCTCTGTCCGCTTGGACGGGGTTTCACACCACATTTCAGTAACCACCAGCCGCATGGGATTATAAATCCCCAAAGCTCCTCTCGTCCTGAACACTGTACCGAAATGAAACATTCAGGAGCAGGACTTAAATGGAGCAGGCGTGCACATATATTAAAGGAAGAATATATCGGCCTAATTCACCTTCAAGGCAAGTGGTGTGCAAGCTCTCTGATTGTCTTATAATTTAAACTAATAAAACAGGTGAATGAAGGGTTATTATCCAAATAAAAGTGTGTGGCTCCATCATTAGTCAGAGTTTTTGCTCTGTTCGTTTTAAGTCTGGACGGAAACCCAGCCAGGCTGCAGGCGCCTGAGCCGCTCACCCGCGGGACCCGGGCTCTCTCCTCTCCCTTCGCTCTGTGGCTCTATTTACTCTGCTATGATTTAACATATTGGCCTTTTTCTTCCCACTTTGACAGATTATACCAGCTTCATTCAAAGTGGGGCGCAGTTTTTTAAAAGACAGACCACTGGCCATTGCCTCGCCAGGGCGTGTTCTCCAGTAAGAAAAGGAAACACTATTTGTTACCATGGAAACGGTTTGATGAGCGTGGCGGACCCCCATTCTCTGTTTGGGCTCAGTCACTTCTCCCTTGCAGCCCCCTGTGGAGGACTGGCCGGTGGCCATTTGCCCATCATGAGCTTTAGTTTCCCCGTGAAAACGCCATGTAACAGCGAGGCAGGTACAGACTCTAGCTGGACGCTTGCTGTCAGTGCATTTGTGAGGAGCTCTGGGGCTTTGAGTGGCCCAGATACGGTTTCCTTCTCGGGCGCGGCTCCAGCCCCAGTGCTCATAGGAGCCGCTACATCTCCCCTGGGTCCCGGGTGGTTTCTCCCACAAACACTGGCATCTGATCGAGGGCTCCCTGATGCTGTATCAGCCACCAGCGAGGTCAGCTTCCTGCTCTTCCTCATGGGGTCCCTGGGGCCACATGCAGCCTGGTGACACTGAAGTTTGCTCTGTTTGACGGCGTTCCCCAAACCACTCCTTTTTGGTGTGGGCTGGCGTTCCCGTCTGATCTGTCTGCAGAGCACATGACCAGGCGTGGGGCCCGGACACCCCAGCCCAGGGGGGCGGGCGCACGGCCCCTCGGCGCGCTCGAGCGTGCAGGATGCCCCCGGGTCAGGAGCGGCCGGGTCAGTTCAGCAGCACTCTGCGAGCTGCGCTCGGTCAGGTAGAGACGGATGTGAGCATAAGGTCATCTGGGGGAGGGGGACTTACTTCCTCAGCTTCCTTCAAAGGGGCTACTGGTCTCTAAAAACACCTCTGAACGGGCAAGAACGGTGCTGACATCAGCAAAAGCACGGTCCGCAGCTGTGCTGATGGCAGCGGTCTTAGCCAGCAGGGGGTCTTAAGCAAGTCATTCTTCACACAGGTAAGCAAGCCTCTTACTACACGTGTTCTCAGCCGAGTAGTCAGACTTTTTCATCCTTAACATTGTGACGAAAGGGTGAAGTATTATTGATGATTAACGTCTATAGTTTTCTTCAGCTGCATGTGTGTGTATGTGTGTGTGTGTGTGTGTGTGTGTGTGGGCGCGCGCGCGCGCGCGCGTGATCTAACCTCATCTGACTCTAATGTAGTTTGGTTTTTGTTTTTGTTTTTGGACACCCTGCTAACACATTTCGCACATTTTCAAACATTTCCTTCTGGAAAACTCAAGTCAGCTAGAATGCAACGAAAGGATCATAAATCCAAGTTGTTGGAAGATGGGAGCCCTGTGCAGCGTGGCCGTTGCTGCAGCCTCCCAAGCCCCAGCGTGTGCCAGCGGGCCGTGCCGGCGGCGGGCCGGGCAGGGCAGGCGAGGGTCCGCGAGCCTGAGGCTCGCCAGGCTGGTGTTCCACTCATCGTGCTGGTGTGTGCTTGGGGGACTTCAGGGGCCAGGACAGAATTGGAAACGAGCGTGCCCTCTGTCCTGTGGGCCCTGGGCTCTGCTGTCTGAGAGCACGAAGGCCGTGGTGACAGAGGCCGCATCTGAAACAGCTCTCCGGCCTTCTCTGTTTCCAGCGGCTCATCCCAATGACCTGTTTTCCATGTACATCATTTCACACTCAAAGGGCAGAGGACAGAAGAGACGGGATTGGAACAGGACCCAGAGACCTGGAAATCCGGATCTTGTGGAATTTATGTCGGGGCCCTGGCTGTGTTCTAGGGACCAGCAAACCCTGACCGGGCTGTGCCAGCCTATGCGTCACTGCTCAGTCCCTCACCCGGCAGTCCCTCAAGCATCCCTCTGTCTGTCTGCTTAGTCCTGGAAGCCATATTGGCTCCATGATCTACGTGGACAATAGGGCAGCACAGAGCCGCCAGGGTAACGTGTCCTCCAGGCGAGCTGCCTCTCACCCATTCCTGCCCTTTCTGGGGACCTGCTCTCTAGACCTGCCCTCCCCAGCCTCCTGCAAGCTCTTACTGTTCCCCGGACCCTCCTCGCGTTCAATGTCATCATATAAGAGCTTAATTAAGTCTTCTTAACACAGCTATGTGGGTGCGGTCAGTGTTCCCAGCATGTGCATTTCCATCTTGGAACGGGAGTATGTGTCCTATGGGGTCACCACCAGACGGTTGGCGGAGACGGTTAGGAGATAACCCTCATCTGCACCGGGAACCGCTGCCGCACACAAGCTCGCACACGAGAGTAAGCTACACTCCTCCCCCACCCCCGCCAAAATGAACACGAAAGGCCTCTCTTCCTCAGCGGTAACGTCAGGGAGGAGTGTCACCCTAGCGCTGCGTCCCCAGAGCCCACCGCCAGCTCACCTGTTTCCGCTCCTCAGAGTTTAGCAGGAGGTATCGTGGATCAAACACGATTTTGTGCAATTCTTTCTCCCACGTGGAAAACGCTGACACCTGAAGAAAGATATTTGATACAGTTACTTTTAGCATCTAACACAGAGCCTGAGGTCACGCTGGAATCATCAGTGGTGGAAACAGCATCAGGTTGGGGGGCTCAGCGATGCGGCCTCGTGTGAGAGCGACAGGCATGAGAGCGTTCCGGGAAATCAATACCTAGAGCATTAGGAAATCTAATTTTTTTAAAATTTTTAATGTTTTTTATTTATTTCTGAGAGAGAGACAGCATGAACAGGGGAGGGTCAGAGAGAGAGGGAGACACAGAATCTGAAACAGGCTCCAGGCTCTGAGCTGGCAGTCAGCACAGAGCCCGACGCGGGGCTCGAACCCACGAACCGCAAGATCATGACTTAAGCGAAAGTCGGATGCTTAACCGACTGAGCCCCCCAGGCGCCCCAGGAAATCTAATTTCTACACTCATGCCACTGTTCCTTCCCTGGATTTCTTCCAGGGCCACATGCCACTGATCCGAAGCCCCAATTCTACCTGTGCCGCTGGAATGTCATTCCGGAATGTCACATCTTGAAGTCAGAAATATTGGTGAAAACTTTCAGAACCCCGCAGACCATGACAGAGGGCAATTTCTTACAAATACTCTGCATTTTGCACAATTCCAGTTGATTTTTAGTCAACAGTTAAATCGTGTTAGGTAAGTCATTTTATTTTAAAACAAATGATGTTACTTTACAATAGTTTTAGATTTACAGAGAAGTTACAGGAATATTACAGAGTGAGCACGTTTCCTACCTGCTTCCCATACTGTTCACACCATACATTAGTGTGGAAGCCAGATTTGTCTACACTATTGTTAATGAAAGTCCACACTTAAGACTTATTTAGTTTTAGAGGTTCCTGGGTGGCTCCATTGGTTAAGCGTCCAACTTTGGCTCAGGTTACGATCTCGTGGTCCGTGGGTTTGCGCCCTGCATCCGGCTCTGTGCTGAGAGCTCGGAGCCTGGAGATTCTGTGTCTCCCTCTGTCTCTGCCCCTCCCCCACCATACTCTGTCTCTCTCTCAAAAATAAATAAACATTAAAAAAAAAAAGACTTTAGTTTTTACCTATTTTTCTTTTTCTCCCTAGGATCCCACCCAGTACAGCACGTGACAGTGTCACGTCTCCTGAGGTCCTCTGGGCTGTGACATTTTCTCAGACTTCCCTTGTTTGGCCTTGACAGTTTTGCTGGTCAGGTGTGTTGTAAGATGGCCTCTATCAGGATTATCGTGTTAGATAATTAGATGGTTAGACCAGGTTCTGGGTTTCAGGGAAGAGCACAGAGCCGGGTGCTGTCCTCACCCATCACATCACGGTACCGCCTGTCACCGTGACTCACGACAGGCGGTGTGGACCCAGACCACCGGGTGGAGGCTGTGCTCCCCAGGCCCCCCCCCCACTCACTTATCCCCATCATGCTGTGCTATTTGGGGGGAAGCCACTGTGTGCAGCCCACCCCTCGGGCTATGTTCCACCTCTTGAGGGGGGCGCATCCTAATACAAGCTACTTGGAAAGCTCAAGGGGATGTTTATCAATTCCCCCACATTTACTTATTTTTCCATCATTTATTTGTATCATACAGACTCACAGGTGTTTCTAGTTTGGGCTATGATCCACTATAATCCCAAAACTTGCTTTTGCCACATTGTTCAGCTTTGGCCATGGAGATCTTTTCCGGCCGGCCTTTGTGTGCCTTTGGCATATCCCGTCATTGTTTTGGGGGGGAGGGGCTTCTACTTTCTGGAACATCAAGGTGCCCCAGCCTCATCTGCTGTGTCTCCTGCCTCAGTCCTAGGTCAGACAATTCTCCAAGAAGCCCGGTTCCTTTTGCTGGAGAACGAACCAGACACCGTGACCGGGGCTGAGTGGTTCTTCACCACGGGGCTCGTAGCTTCCAGCTTCTCCCCACTGACAGAGCAAGGAAACATTTAAGTCATTAACACAATAATTTATTCACTTAAAAACATTAACTAAGTATTGACTACGCCTTGGGCCCCAGGCTGCATGCTGAGGACTCAGAGAAAATCAAGGTCCTGACATCAGAGAGCCGGCGGTCGGGGTAGGGCAGGCATCCATGCGTGTCGTCGTAGGAGGGACAGGCCCCGACGCCGAGAGGCCACGGGGAAGGGACGCCCCATCTGCAGGGATCCGTCTCCAGAGCACCGACTGCTCTGGAACATGGACACCCCTCGGGCTCCTGAAGGGCAAGGGTGGAGCACACTGGGGGTCGGGAGGGTGGCATAGTCCCAGGCCGACTGAGGACCTGCACTTACTTGGGGAGCCACGGTGGACGGTCACACGTGAGGGAGGCTGCTCCGGGCCCAGCGGGGAGCGAGCCCTGGACCCAGAGGAGAGACGAAGCTAACCCATTGGTGGCTTTACGAAAACAAAACCCATTCACCCTCTTACCTCTGAGCACATTGAAGTGCTCCCGGTACAGACATTATTTTAATAAACATGCGCTTTACTTGTGGGTTTTTTAATCGACACCTTCTATCTTTACTAACAAAAATCAAAGCCCCTTGTTAATATTCATGAGCTCTGTTACTGGGCGGGATGACCTAGGCTCCACCCAGGGACTTTCTTCCAAGGACCGGGAGCTCTGTGACGTGTGGACAGGCCGCTGGGAGTGGAGGCAGGGACCCCGGGGAAGCATCCAGGCAGAGGAGCCCATCGTGCTTGGGCTCCCGAGCGCGGCAGCGTTAGGGCAGCTGTGGAGAGAAGCCTGGGCAACCGCAGCTCAGCCCAATGAAACAGGCTCCTGTCCACCGGTGGGGACGGCCTCAGCTCGCTGGGGAGGGCAGAGGATGGCTTAGAACTGGTGTCACATAACTGACTCTACCGGATTATGAGAATTTTTGGAGTTCTAGATGGTTATAAAATCATCTTTTGAAAATGAATAGCATAGGGTTGCCTGAAAAGGAATTTGCAATCTGGGTGTAAGACGAGGTAAGCCACCTGTACAGGACTGTGATTCACAGTGACAGACAGGTGTCGTCATGCCTGAGAGCCATGCTGACAGGTGCTTCCCGGCGTCGAGAACGGCAGCCGGGGTTGAGAGAGGGGTAGCCAGGCGTGGGAGCCAGGGCTGGGGGATCAAAGGGACGGGAGGGATGGACGGCCACGTCGGAACACCCAGGACCACTGTGGGGGACACAGCCTCATCCGTGAGACCCAGCTCTTCCCAGAGGGCCCGGAGAACTGCAGGTAGGACCGATTCCGAGCATCGCTGCTGATAAAAGCCTGATCTCACCAGGCCTGCGCCTCCCATGTCTCCAAGGTCATGTCTAGGTAAGTTCATTCCAGGGGCCAGGATGGAGGTCTCCCTACTCTCGCTGGGTGCCAGGGGAGCCACTCTTGTCCCCAAGGCTGCGTGTTCCCTGCCACACCCCCCCACACGCCAGGTGGCTTGTTTCTCCAACGCCCGTGGGAGAGCCTGTATATAAGACCCAGTCTTATGTTACATCATGCAATGTCTTCCTGGAGTGCCCCCCCCATTCACGGGTCTGCCCAGTGTCAGGGGAGGGGGCCAGCTGGGGTGCAGCTGGGGGTGGGGACCTTGGGGCTGCCTTAGGGTCCTGCCCACAGGGCGGGCCCAGGATCCCAGCGCACCCACAGGGCGGGCCCAGGACCCCAGCGCACCCACAGGGTGGGCCCAGGACCCCAGCGTACTGCCATCTCTCTCTTACGTCCAGCCTACACTTTTTGACGCTTCAGCACTTCCATGGGATTTGGTCTTTGAACAGCGTACCATCCCTGCAGCCCGGCTGTGTACCCTGTGGGATCCTCTCTCCCCTGGGGGCCATGTTCTGTGCTCCCACCACCAGCCCCCACAGTCAACAGCCGTGATCCAGACACGTGTGAGCCCGTGGGTGTGATGGCTGCCAGGAGACTCCGGGCCCCAAGCACATTCTCTGTTTTATCCCCGCTGGGGGGTCACCGTGTGCATGTACTCACAGGTCACTGAGCGCTGGGCCGTGGCCCCGCCTCCCTTCCCGCCCAGCCTCCTGCCCCCAGCGCTACTCGGGCAGGCGCTCCCTGTCGTCTCTAGGGCCCCAGGCGCTATCGGTTCCCTGCCGTCTACACTGCTGAGGACATTCCCGGCAGACGCAGCTATAAGACAGAGTTGTGGACAGGACTTCACCTCCAGGCAGGGGCCAGATGTGCCACATGGCTGGCTGGCGGCGGGCGTCCCCGTGTGGCATGTCCATGTGGCATGTCCACAGCCACAGGTGTCATTCCTGGAGGGTGAGAGGCAGGGGGAGGCGCTGGCACCGCGGCCGCAGGAGCCGGGCCCCTTCCTGCCGCTGACGGTGTGCTGCGTGCGGGAACAGCCTCGCTGGGAAAGCCCGCTAGTGCTCTGCAGGGACCAGCGGCTGGCGCCTGGACAGTCACGGCGGTCCCCCACCGCTCCCCGTCCTCCAGCGCCCTGCTCCCCAGGCCCCGGCACCCACCCTCGCAGGGGCTCCATTTCTTGCCGGGGCCCCCGTGGCGGCTTCTCGGCCGGCTGTGCTGGGCCCACCACCCCTGATTGAGGGTCCTTGGCGGCTGCTCCCCCACCTGCTGGGCACAGGTGAGGCCCCGTCTAGCAGAAGCCTCCTGAAGGTGACCAGGGCCTTGTGCACAAGGAAGAAAAGTCCCCCGATGAGACTGGTTCCGGCCTCAGCCCCGGCTTCACCAAAGCCCCCCTGAAATCTGAGGAAGAGGCTCTGCGTTGGGCTCCGGCTGGAACGCGACATGACAGGCTGGAAAGAGCCCCCTGGGAGGTCGTCACAACCGGAAGGTCCCCCGTGGGCAGGACGCCACGAAGGAACGAGGCAGACGCTGACTTTGTCTTCAAAGCCAAAGGCTATTGCTCGTGTTTGTCACTCACTGGATCACACACACGACCAGGGAGCCGAAGGACCGGAGAGAAGGCTGGGAACGGATGGCTCGTGCCCGGCCCTGAGCTGGAGGTCAGTCGGCGGGGCCGGGGCACCGGGGCTCCCCTCTGATGCCCTCCGG